TAGCTTAGAGTTAAGCTAACTTAGATGGTTTTTTTGGCGGCAGGGTACCAGGAGTCGAACTTAGGACCTTGCACTTGTCAGGCAGGCACTTGTGCTGCTGAGCTATATCCCCAGCCCTTAGGTTTAATGATTAAGTTAGGTTGTTAAATTGCCCAGGCTTGGTTCAAACTCGCCATCCTCTTGCCTCAGCTTCCCAGAGCGCTGAGATTACAGGCGTGCGCCCCCACACCCAGCAAGAGGTCCTCCTTTTGCCCCTGCAGAGGCCTGGGCCCCAGAGCCTGGGTGGAGATGAAATTTGGGATCTGCCGCTGGCAACACTTCGGTTTCAGCTCAGGAACCCGATTTGGAGTTTCTGGCCTCCAGAGCTGGGAGAGAATACATTTCTGGGTGTTTTAAGGTTCTGTTACATGAGCTGCAGGAAATGAGCACAGTTGGGTCCCCGGCCAGCTGTGCCTTCCTGATGTGCTTTACGGGTCCGCTCCTCCAGGAAACTTCTAAATGCTGACGTGGCCCCAATTCAGTCCTCTTTTCCTCTATTCTCTCTCCCTGCATGATCTCACCCATTCACTTGGCTTTCAGATGAGCTTTATCTGTTAACATCCTCCAAATTTCATCTCCACCCAGACTCTGGGCCCCAGGGGTGAGAAGAGGACCTCTTGCTGGGTGTGGGGGCGCACACCTGTAGTCTCAGCGCTCTGGGAAGCTGAGGCAAGAGGATGGCGAGTTTGAACCCAGCCTGGGCAATTTAACAACTTAACTTAGTCATTAAACCTAAGTTAGCTTAACTCTAAGCTGGCTTTCTCTAAGGCTGCCCCAACGCACACTTATTCATCACAAAGGGTCAGAAAGGATGTATACAGAGGTGCCCAAGGTGAGGGTCAAAGACACCGGAGAGCCAATCCAGAGAGCCAGGTGACAACATCCCGGTGCCCATCTAGGGAGGTGGGAAAATTCACCAGTCCTAAATAAAAAGGAGCCGGGCACAAAAACCCCCAGGTATTTACTTCTGATGCCCCCTACTCTTCGGGAATAACTGTCTTTTCTTTTCAATCCTTTTCCAAAGAAACTGTCCTTCTTTATTTTAAACTCTGCCTCTGTAATTCATTACTGTCGCTGAGTGTACGATCCAGTACATATTTTTCTCACAGTCCTGGAGGCTGACGGTCCAAAATCAAAGTGTTGGCAGGGCCACTCCCTCTGAAGGCTCCCGGGAGAGCCTTTCTCACCTCCGCACTCTGGCGCCCACTGGCCATGCTGAGTGACCCTCAGCTTGGAGAAGCACCACAAGAACTCTAGTCATTGGATTCAGGGTGTACTCAAATCCAAGTACTTAACTCAGCAAAGATGACCTCAAGTTCCTACCTCCGCAGAGACCCTACTTCCAAATAAGGCCACCTAGTGACGTGCTGGGGTGGACGTGAATTGGGAGAATGACGCTTTTCAAGCCAGTTAGTTGAGAAAAGGGACATCTTGCGTGATCTTGATGTGGAGCTCAGGGACCGGCTATCATTCCCTGTCTACTCTTACATGAAAGGGGTCATATAAATGCAGGGTGGACTGAGCTATAGGAAAGCTGAGAAAATTAAATGTATATGGCTTCTATCCACAGCTTGCAAACGTTCCTGCCACACACTGAAAATATGTATACAAAATTTAAAAAGTTACGACTGAGGAGGGGGTTATTAGATCTTTCTGTAAGACATCAGAAAATTGTGTTTACTAGAATCAAGTGGGAAGAATGACGCGTGTTGTGAGACGGACGTGTGTGCAGGTGACGCCGTCCAACAGCGTGTGGCGGTGGGGTGGGCTATGCCCATTGCTCCTCGTCGGGCACACGCTACTGGTGGGAATGTAACTCTTACCTTCAGTAAATGAGTTAAAGAAAGCGGAGCTCAAATAAAGAAGACAAGCCAGGTGTGGTGGCGCACGCCTGTAATCCCAGCACTCAGGAGGCTGAGGCAGGAGGATCATTGTGAGTTCGAGACCAGCCTGGGCTACAAAGTGAACTCAAGGTCAGCCTGAACTGCATAGCGAGATCCTGTCCAAAAAAAAAAAAAAAAAAAAAAAAAAGAAAAGAAGATAAAGGAGACAGTTTATTTGGGGGAAAAGATGGAAAAGAAAGAGGATAGACAGCTACCCACCCAAAGTTAAAGGAGGAAAGGTTTATTTAGCTCATAGCTTGTAGAGGTTTCAGTCCATAATTGGCTGGCTCCAAGGCAGGGTGGAATCAAAGAGGGAAAACAGTTCATGGCAGGCAGAGGGTAGTAAAGCAACAAGGGATGACTACAGGTCTTTCTATCCCTTGTGTCTTATCCAGGCCCCTCAGGGAGGGCAGCACTCACATTCTTAATCTTAGTGCCTTTGATCCTAGCACTGCATCATGAATCAATCTCAGTGTCACAGACCCTAGATCCAGCCCCCTCTGAAAAAGCCCCACCTATGACTGCATGAGGCTCTCGGGGGACATCCAGCCACAAGCCATAACTTCAGCCTTCAGCATTCTCAGTTTGAGGAGGTTTGTTTTTGTGCTGGGGATCACACCATGGTTCTCACATGTGCTAAGTGCACGCCCCACCACTGAGTTACTCTGTCCCCAGCCCAATTTGAGAGCTTTTTTATTTTTTTAAAGACAGTCTTGCAATGCAGTTCAGGCTGGCCTTGAACTCACTGTAGCCCAGATGGCCACAAACTTGTAGTGATCCTCTTGCCTCAGCCTCTCAAGTGCTGGGATTACAGACGCGTGTGCCACTATGCCTGGCTTGTTTGAAAGTTTTCAAAACCTGCCACAGAGGAAGAAAAAAAAAAACAAACCAAAGTCTGAATTCAAAGCCCAGTCCATAATTAGCCATATGATTTAAGCAAGCCTTTTACCTCTCTTGGACTCCTTTTAGAAAAATCTATGAAATCACATGATTTGTGTTTTGTTTCCTTTTCGGGGGAGGGACCTGTTTCATTAATATGTAAACTGCGCAAAGGCAAGGATGCGGTCCTTTCCGTTCACTGCCTGTATCCCTAGTGCTTGGAACAGAGAGGCACAGGGTGCAGCCAGAAAACGCGCGGGGGGATGAAACGATGCCCCGCCTTTTCCCCGTGCTTTGTTAGTGCCGGCTCTCAGGTCGAGAGTGTTACAGGGGCTGCCCAGAGAAGATGACTGACTGTTCTTTGAAGGAGCTCAGCTCTCAAAAGCCTGCGGGAAGGCTCACTGAACCACGGAGTGAGTAATTACATCCTGCGAGGCAGAACACAACACGCAAATGGATCTTTTATTAGTGCTATTAAAATAAACACCAGTGACACACAGTGGTGACGCACATGCCCTGTAATAACAGAAGACGAGAGGCCTAGTGTTTCCACCTTTCTCTAGCTCGCCTACACTTCTCTGCTCATTTCCTTAGACGCTCTCTCTCTCTTCACCAGTGTGACAGGGCAGACTAGGAGAGAAATTTCGGTTCAAGGGACTTGTTTCTGATTCTGAGCTTAAGTCACTCTGGGCTCTCCTTTTATCATTTTTATGTGCTTTCTTTAATTGCAATATAGAAAAAAAAATGTATGTATTTATATTGCGATTGAACCCACGGCTTTTACACTGAACTACAGCGTCAGCCTTATGTGTTTTTTTTTTGTTTTGTTTTGTTTTTAATTTTGAGTCAGGGTCTTGCTAAGTCACCATGTAGCCTAGACTGGTCTTGAACTTGTGATCCTCCTGCCTCAGCCTCCCAGAGTGCTGGGACTATAAATATGCACCACCATACTTGAGTATTATATCCCTTTTACAAATAGAGGAACCATGGCCCAAAGAGATTGATATAGTGAAGATCACATATATTAGAGCCAAATTTCAGGTTTCTTCCAACCACGGGTATGTGTTGCTCAGGTCCCCCAAGGCGTAGGTAGTCCCTTTTCTGTCCAGGTGGTCTCCATGATGGGACAAGGCCTTTTGCCTGCTTTTGTTCCCTGCTGTAATCCCAGCCTCTACAATTCGGCCTGGTACATGGACAGGGATTTTTATTTGCCTTCAGCAGGCACTCATTGCACATATGTTTGTTTTGTTTTGTTGCAGTACGGGGGTTCGAACTCACGATCTTGCGCTTGCCAGGCAGGTACTTATGCCCCTGAGCTATATCCCCAACCAATGCACATACGTTAAGTGGGAAAAAAACGATTAGAGCTGAGTGTGGTGGTGCACACCTGTAATCCTGGCACTTTGGAGGCTGAGGCAGGAGGATCACCACAAATTCGAGGCTAGCCTGGGCTACATAGTGAGACCCTGACTCTCAAAAAAATTTTTTAAATAAATGGTTAGCGACGCACCACAGTTCCTCCTATGACTTACAAGCAAGTCGTGGCCCTTCAGATTTCTTTCCTTGCCTGCTCTGGCTGGTAGCCTTCCCGCTCCGCCC